GGGGAGATGAGGAGCCAAACAAACCCCAAACCTATGAACAGCAGGCTAAGAGGTGCTAACAGCTTTGGAAGCTACATCTGGAGTTGCTTTGTACTCGGTGTGCTCTTGTGGTGGAGGTATTGTAGTCATGTCTCTTGGACTCAACTTGCAGGGTGGTGGTTCAGGAACTTCAATATCACGAATGAAACCAGTTTCATTTGCTATCACCTCCTACAAGGAAAGAAGGAAATTGTTCAAGATAGACAATATCTACTTGTTGGGCTTTGCCCATCTTCTTAAGGAAAGGATTCTTAAGCCATGGATTCTTTGAGAACTTCAAGAAACCTACAATGCTTTGGTCAGAAGAATGTATTTAAGTCCATAAAACTAGTTTATAATAAAACACATGTATATTGTTATATTACATTATGTTTATGTATATACATGTACATGTGTATTATTTGTTATAACAATATAAATATATTTTGTTAGAAAGGGAACCATCATGTTAAAATATAGTTATCAAATTATTTAAAAAATAACAAATAATAGTAATATATAGGCTTGCGGTTTGTTAAATCTAAACCTACAAGACAAGCTAAATTTCAATTAGAGACCACTGAAAGTAAAAAATATATTTTTCATTCTAGTCAAAGGACCTCTAGTTAAGGGCCCCAGACTTTGGGCAAGACAAGGTCATTGTTTTTTTCTTGCCGAAATTAGAATAGACAGACCTAATTTAAATGTTAAAATAAAAACTACTAGCAGAAGGGATTATTTCAATACTCTGCTTATTCCAGTTTTTTTATTTTTAGGGAAATGTGATGCTGGAAATGTACAGAGTGTGATGTCTTATCTAAATATTTATAAATTTTCTGGCAGATAACCATCTTTCTATGAAATAAATTTTCCAAGGAGGTGAACTAAGAAGAATTTATTTCTAAAAATGGGTTGAAAATGGGTTGGAACCCAAAAAAATCAAAAGAAGACTTGGAACTAGAAGGTCATACATGTCATTGATTTAGCTATTTACAATTGAAAAAAGTCAAGTGTAGAAGACTATCCAAAGAGGAAAATGGATGAAGGACCAACTGGGCTGAAAAGGAATGGGAAAAAGAAGCCCATAAATGCTTTTCAATTACGTGGTCTATTTTTGTTTTGAGCCACAGGTAGCCTTTGTCAGTAATCCCTTTGGTGGGAGTTGAAACTGACAATATATCAGCTTCAGTTGCATAAAATTTGGAAAGATGCTGCCTAATTTATTGCTATTCTTCACACCATGTCCAGAATAAAGAGAGATTGGAAGGTATAAACCTCATGGAGATCCAAGACTAGATCTCTATTGTTCCATTTCTAGCTTTTCCAGTTGGGTCTATGACAACTCATCATGACCAACTTGTCATGGTCAACTTGCTGCAAGACAACTCACTACGGAATAAGTGTTACACTACTATCAAAGAAATGATGGAATAAAATCATTAAAGGAAAGGTGCAAAAGGAGGCACAAAATGAAATGAGAATGGCAAAAAATAAAATTACTTTTAAAATTATTTTAAACAATTAAATCAAATTGTTGAATTGTCCTTTAGCGAGTTGTCCCATGGTGAATTGGCTGTGATGAGTTGACTGTGGTGAGTTGGCTGTGGCAAGTTGTCCCATTTCATTTCCAGTTCAACAATTGTAATTTCCTCCAGTATTTAAAGCCTACTTACATCAATGGTTTTTATGCTAACAATCTGAGGTGCTTCCTTGCAAGCTTTCTCTGCTTTCTTGACAGTTTCATTATCCCATTGTACAGAGTTGATGGCCATCATTCCTTCTGTTGGGCTGCAGGGTGAAAT